GTGTGTTGGGGCAGGCAGGCAGCAGGGAGCTGTGCAGAGCCACGCGCGCCGGGGTGAAGGGAGAAGGGTGGTAACATGTTAACCAACTTGCATGAGACACATGCATGCACACACACGCACACTCACACATGCACGCACACTCACATTCACACACACGCACACGCGCACACACACACACACACACACCAAACCCCCGCGTGTGCACCTGCTCAGCGCTGATGGGGTCGTCATCCTCCAGGTACAGCATGGCGATGCGCACGTTCTGGCGCAGCTTGTACGCGGGGTCCACGTTGCGGACACCTGTTGTCGATGTTAATGCCAGCGAAGGCACGTGGCGTGCAGCGCAAAAGTGCAGCGGCTTCGTTGAATGTCGGGCGTTGGCATGGCGCAGTTCGGGGGGACCCCAGTAGGGGGTCGCCAAGCTCGATGGCAGCTGCAAACATGCACCACTGGGGCCGAGATGGCGAAAAGCAACCTCTGCGCGGCACCCCTGTCTTGGGGTGCTACCAGGGTCATCCCAAGGCCCCCACATCGCGCGGCCGTCGCGACAAGCACTCTCCCAAGTGCGACCCCTGCTCCCTCCAAAAGCTTGCGCCGCGTGATCCCTCATCCACCCCCCCACCAACAACCACCGCACCTGAATCGAGGTCAATGCCGGCGAGCGTCTGCGCCGCCTGGCTCCACTCCTCCTCTTTCTCTAGAACCTCCGCCAGGTTTTCCCGCAGCACGGTGGCCTGCTCCTCAAACGACACCTGGCGCCATGACGGGTTGATGGTGGGAGATGCTGGGGTGAGCGGCGTCGCTGTTTGTGGCGCGGCGTCGGGCGCGCGTGGCGGCGGCGCGCTGGGTATTTGTAAAGCATGCATGCATGCAGATGCATGTGTGAGTGCATGCAGTGCATGCGGCCAGACTAACTCATGCATCGACATATACGAGGGCTGGCGTCCCCTCGGGAGGCCTGTCAAGGCGGCAGATGCCGCGACAAGCCGAGCCCGCCATATTCCCAGGCCATGCCTGCCTCCCCCGCCCCTTTCACCTGCCGCGGCGCAAGCTTCTCCAGCGCGCTGTGGGTTGAGGGAGTGGGCAGGGGGATGCGCAGGCGCGTTTGATTGGCATGGCGACGGCCGCTGTCAGCCGCGCGCGCCAGGCGCTGCAGCAGGGGTGCGTGCTTGTTCCAGCCATGCGTGAGCGCGCGCGCTCGCCCGCCCCCGCCGGGCGGCAAGCATAGGGACGGCATGGGGTCCACGCCGATCAGGGGTGGGGGATGCTGCTCACTAACGGGCGACGAGTTTGTGGGTGTCCGCCGGCAGCTTGCTGACCTCAGTGGCAAACACCTTGCAGAGGAATTGTTTGGGGATGATTTGCGGGGTTGGGGGATTTGGGAGGCAGGAGGACGGGGCACCAGGGCAGCGGGGGTGCCTCCAAAAGGGGTGAGGAACGGCAGTGCCACGTGGGGGAGGGCGGGGCCAGGCCGCGGCTGATGCAGGGGCCGGCTGCCTGCAGCCGCCCTCAGAAGCGCTCTGCGGCCAGGTCAGCGCTGCCCGGCGCCCTCGGCCTGCCTCTGCGCCCCTCGTCCCGCGGTCCGCACTTGAAGGCTGCAGCACGCAGCATGCTGCCTCTGCCCGCGCATGGCCATGCACACGCGCAGTGCCGGGCAGGCACGGCCATGGCGAGCGGGCCGTGTGGGCGCAAGCACTCCCTCACGGCGGCTGCCGCGCCATGCGCTCGTCCATGTCACCGGCGACAGCGTCACCCCGCACCTGCAGGACCTGCCTGCTGATGACCAGCTGGACGTCGTCGGACAGCACTGGTTGGTTGGGTAGTCATGGGGGTGTTGCATGCGTTGCGGGTGAGGTTGCACGCGCCATGCATGCGGCTGTGCTGCTGCGGTTGGTATGGGGGTGCCTCACGGCTAGGCAAGGCGTGAGCCAGGCGCAATGCGGTCCATTGCGGCGGCGGCGCGCTGTAGCGTTTGCGTGTACAAGCACGCCGGCCCAAGGCAGCTCCGGGGGGCGCGAGGCTCCTGCAGGGCACCACCATAACCCCCAGGATCCGCTGCCCGCTTCTCACTGTGGTCGACGAACGCGTTGCACGCTTCCACCGTGGGGCTCTCCAGGACATTTTGCAGCAGCTGCTTGTATAGCTCAAGCTTTTGCTTTTGGTCCGGCTTCTCCGCAATCGCCTGCAGTTGCTGGGCGATTTGCGCCATCGCGGCGAGCGAGTGCAACGCCCCTCCTCGCTGCCGTTGGCGCCTTTGCCGTTAGCGCTTCTCCCTAGCCGATCGCTGTAGTCTTGAAATTCACGCGTCCTCAATGGATCTGGCTAATACAGGCAACTCGCGCGTCTTTCGCAACTTAGCTGCAGATCAATTAGATCGTCAGTGGCGTCTTCCGCATGGTGAGATAAAGAGTATTGAAATGTCATCAAGGCGATTCGGGTTTGCACCTTGTTATGTTGATGATTTCGGCCGGCAGCGTTGGCCACCCCGGATCCTGCACGGTGACTTCTTCGTTGGCGTCACAACGCGTTTGGGTCGTATGGCACCGCCGAGGGAAGCCCGTATGAAATAACATACGAATAGAAGCCATATGCGCTTTCAAACGTTCGCAACAACGCCTTGCAGAGCCGGCGACCCTCCAGAGTAGCGCAAGAGCCTGTCTGACATGCCCTCGCGCTTTTCGGCGCAGACATCGATTGGGGCTGCTGCTGTTGGTTTGCTGGGAGAGACGCGTGTTTTGGAGGGCAAACCGCGCACAAGCAGCAGCTCTACAGCGAGCGGACAACCGGGGATGAGGCTCCGGCTGGACTTCCTTCATTCCTGGCCTGCAGCAAGACCAGGACCTGGGCTGTGGTGACAGAAAAAGCACATTACAGTGATCAAAGAGTAGGAGCACACCCATACGACTGCTTACAATCCAAGGGCTGAGATTCGCTTCTCAGAAAGGTCGACCAAGTCCAGCATTGGTCTCCCTCCCGGCCTCTTTTCCCACTAGCATGCCCCTCCCGCCGCGCCACGCTTTGCACTCCGTCAGCAGCACGCAATCGCTGTGGAGGTTTTTCTTTCCAATATTTTGTCCCATAGAATCTATTTTCGAAAGGGCAGCGAAGGGCGTAGGAGCAAATTGTCTTGCTTGCTCGCGTTCGCGCGGCCACCACCTCAAAGCGCGTCGCTCGGCCTCTGTTTACGTCGGAAGGGGGCCTCTTACGGGTTTTCACCACTCTCAGGCTGCGCAGGCGCGTGTAACTGCGTCTCACCCAGCCTCACGACGCGTGCAGCCACCATCAAGAGGGCCAGGAGGCTCGTGGCAACACCGCAAGAAGCCGACTTTACACGTATCAGGTGATTCGAACCTGCACGGGATGCAGGACTGGGGCGCGGGGCCAAGTCGGCCGGCGGCGCTGGCATCTCGGTGAAGGTCGTCGTCGCGAGCTCAGCTGAGTTTGTAGTGTCAGCGACGAAGCGGGCGCTGCGTTTAGGGCCGCTTTGTAGTATATGGTCATAGGATCCCCTCACTTTGCAATGCACTCATGCTGAGAGAACGAGCATGCCCCGGCACAGAAATGCGGCACAGAAATGCGCACCGCCATCCCTCACTGGCCTGCCCTGTCAATTCATGCCATCTATCTTCCAGGTGCTGTCCTCACAGACAGACACAAAGACCCAAATTCTGAGTGAGGAGCGGCACTGGCAACTTGCAGCCCTGCAGTCAGCACCACGGCGCAACTATGGCGTTCTGTCTGAGGCCGCAGCCGTTGCCACCACGAGGCGGCCGCGCCGCAGCTGCAGTTCTCCTTGTGGCACTGCTGGCGGCAGCTGTTGGCCCATCACATGCAGCTAAGGTGAGGTCCCGGGGCACTCGTGGATCCCAGATGGGTTACCGGTGGCGTGCATGGGGCATATCGTCGCTGACATGCATGGGGCTAACATCTCCAATCACTCACTCCGACGCTGCATCAACTTTGACCCCCGCCCGCTCGCTTTCCGCAGCCCCAATGTGGTCTCATCCCGGGGTGTTTACAGTGCAACGACACAACCCTCCAGACCTGCGTCAAATGCAAGAAGGAGTTCGTCCTTAACGTGGACACGGGCCGCTGCGGTGCGCGTGCTTGGTGTTGCATGCCCCGCACCGGCGCCTGCACAACGGCGCAACCCTCGTTGCCCCGACAGCCATGTGCTCTGTTGTGGCCAGCTGCGTGGACACGCGCTTGGTGGCCCCTGGGTCAATTTGCTTTGCCTACTCCTCGGCCGCCCGCCTTCTGCCTGAAGCTACCGCCTGCAACTACTTTTGCTACCCTGAATTGCTCACCCTGGCGCCCACAGTCTGCCCTCAAGGGTCGGGATCTTACTACGAGCCTCCTTTGACCGGAGCCACTGTCAAAGCCGTCCAGCGCTCTGGCTACTGGGCAGCGCGGAAGAAGCCACCGTTTGTCGCGTACCCTGCCACCAAGGCAGTGCAGAACAAATTTGCAGTGTGCAGTCCATGCCCCATTATCACTTTCGACGGCGGCAGCAAGCAGACGGCCATGTCAGTCGGCGGTGAGTGCAACCGTAATTCACGCAATTAAACATGCTGGTGTAGCCGCGTGAGGTGCAGGGCAGTGCTCCCCATCTGCGCGACCAGGGTGCATTGCAGAAATGAAAGCGGTGCCGTGCGGGTGCCTGCACTGCTAGCGGTACAAGTGACAGGCTGCTGCCAACCAAGCGCGCGAAGAGGGGTCGCTATGACCCAACTCCTGCTGCCCTTTGCTCCATCCGTATGCAGGACCGATTGAGCGCAGCCGCTGCGCGATGCCATCTCGCTTCGAGTTTTGGCTGCGCGCCAACGGGGACCGCCCGTGCAATGACGACACCAAATGGGCGCTCATTGTGTTGGTGTCGTTCACCGCGCAGGTGAGCAACCAGCCCGCCCTGGCATGCCTGGCCTGCTTTGTTGCAACTGATTGGCAAGTGAAGGGAGCGGCAGGTTTGCTGTATGCACGGCATTATTGCAACGGCATCAGCTGGCGATGCACGCAGCTCGGGTTGCTGTTCTGGCCCCGTTGCTTTCATGAAGAAATGTTGTAGGGTTGGAAGGGATGTCCCGGATGGTTTTGTGCACGTGCTCGCACTCCAACAGGCATGCGTGCACGCCTGTGCACATCGGCATACACACAAGCGCACACTCACTGAAGCCCATGGCCCCACCCCACCTCTATGCCTGCAGTACTACTACCGTGAGCGCGGCGGCCTTGAGCTGTTTGACCTCCTGGATGATCCCTCACCCATCGCCTGCACAAACTCCGGCCCCCCCGGGACAAACGGCGCGCGCGGCGGCGCCTACCTCATGCCCATCGGATACAGCGGCCTGTCCGAGGTTGCGGCACAGTTCATTTCCACGGTAAGAAGCTGCGGGCCACTTGGCGGCGCTGGTCAGCGGCCGGCTCCCTGTCCTGTTGGCATGTGCGTTTTGGACCGTCACCCTTGTGAAGAGATGGTGCAAGCCGCTTGTAGGGTACTACAAGGGATGCATCCAGGCATTTGAAGTTGAGCAGTCAGCATGACCGCCGCAGGGAGGACAGACTGCAGTGGCAATCTTGTCAACTACCACGCGCACCACGCCTCTCAACCCCCCTTGTCTGACCCCACCTCTGGGCCCAACGCCTTCCTGCCACCACCGCAGATTGACGCGACAGGCGTGTGTGGCCTTGTGAACCTCGTCAGCGATCCCTTGACTGCTGGGAACCCGGCTAAGGCCTCAAAACCGTGCGAGGTTGGCTACTTCTTGGAAGGCCAGTTCTACTCGGCCGGGAACATCCTTGCCGGCGCCGCCGGCGGCTTCGCGGCGCTGTCAAAGCCATCCCTACCGGGGGCCTGAGAGAAAGCACTCGGCCGCATCCTCTTCGTACAGACAGCATACGTGGCCGCTGCTCTGCGTGCTCGGGATCACCAAGGATTTGGAGCCGGCGGCCAGGGTGCCCCAGGCTTGGCACCAGTCCTCATTGCTCCGTCACAAGTGGCTTTACGCAGTTGCGTGCATGATGAAAAGCGATGCAGCTTGCATGCATCTGCGCCACGTCATGGGCTCCCTTTTTGCCCTGGCTTCCGCACTGGCCGGCTGCCTGGTTTTGTCGCTTGATCAAGGCATGCGGCTCAACCCAACTCTTGATCAATTTTCTGGGCACTACAGCGTGAGTGGACAGCCAGCCAGCTTCTAAGAAGGAGCCACTCACGGCTTTGCCGTCTTTATCATTAATCGTGGGCCCAAACGCACATAGGGTCGCCACCGCTTCCTTGGACCCTTGCAAACCATTTTTGCCACGGCGCAAGCACACGCACACCAGTGCAGTTGAGTACTCTGACGTCTTCGTTCAGGCTTCGGTCCGCCAGCATATTATTAAAAGATTTTTAGAGCAATGGCCGCGAGCCTTTGGCAGCCTTTTTATCTTATACTGCCGGTTTGAAAGGGTTCGCGTCCCCGCGCTCCCGTCAAAACCCCAATCGCCGCTGACGGCACACACACCACTGACTCACAGCCTCTTTGGATGTCATGGCGCGTCACGTGTGGCACACATCACTGGATCAGCCGCTTTTGGCTGATGCCTTACCACGCCCATAGTCATCTGCCATCATGTTACCCGCATAATATTTTTCAGCCCAAACTGCAGCAGGCTGCACAAGTCCTTCAAAGCCGAGTTTGGCAAGCTGTCCAGCTGAGCCTGTTGCTCAGGCAAGCAGGCTAGGGAGCTAGTGCATGGTCGTTACTAAGACGTCAAGGGAAACACAGAAACATGGGCAAATGAAACATGCAATCATCATGCCTGCTGGTCGTGGCGGCGTGGTGTGGGTGGCTCTTGGGACTGGTGGCAGGTGGCCAATTCTGGCTGTGGGGGCAGCAGCATGTTTGGTGCGGGTTGGTACTCCTCTGCCCGTTATCCCGGTCTCTAATAGCACTCTGCCTACCTGTAATACCGTGGATTTGCATCTATATCCCATGAAAAGCAAGCATATTGCGTTTGCGCACGGTGGCGCCCGCGGATCACCGGTCTCTGCGACAGGGTGACCGGGCGGGTGGATGCTGCTGGTGTCGCTGGCGCAGCAGTTCGCTCACTGGCACTGCTCGGCATGTTCCCTGAACAATATACGCCTTTGACGGACTGGTGAGCGGCGACTGTGTTTCGTTCAAACGCCAGATCGGGCGGGTTCATTTTGCGTCCAAGAAACCATTCTCGACTTGATCTCTTTGATTGCTGACCAACTGACATTTATCAAAAACAGTCGCTTCAAGTAGTTCACCTCCGACTCCTGGCAACCTGTCCCACCTTTTGGAAGTGCCACACTCGGCGACGCTCCTGTCGGGATGTCTGACTCCGACGACGAGGTCTTGAGCTTCAAGCGGAAGCCCTTGGGCGAGGCGGCCCATGGTGAGCGAACCGACCTGGGGTGGGCAGAGCGATGTTCGTTTCCGCACGCTGCGGCTCGCCTAGGCCCTTTCCTTATGCCGAGTGGATTGCACAGTGATTGAAGGCATCCATAGGTCATATACACACCCATCTCACCGCCATCCAACACCACAGCAGCGAAACACGGTAGCGACGGCGGAGCGCATACCGCTGCGCCGCAAAAGCAGCAGCACCAGCCAGCTCCGGAGCGGCCGCAACAGCAGCACGCCGATAACAACCAGCAGCCAAAGCACCCTGCTGCGCACGCCAACGGCCACGTTGCACACAGCGATCATGGACATGCCACCCACGCCCACGATCCCACAAGCCCGAATTCTGAGCGCCCCTCTGCCGACGGCACCGGCGGCAAGCGGGCTTCTGCGGACGGCGGCGACAAGCACGCCTCGGCGGACGGGGGCGCAAAGGGAGCGTCTGCCGATGGCGGCACCGTCCCCGCGCCCGCCGACGGCGCCGCCGCCAAGCAGCAGCACGCCCGCGACTCCGGCGGCGGCGCCCAAGTCGACGCTGCTGCGGCCGCCAACGGCGGCGGCAAACCGGGCGGCGGCAAGCGCGGCAGCGATAGTGGGGATAAGAGGGGCAAGCAGAAAGCAGCGGACGCGGCGGCAGACCCTGAAGTGAAGCCAGAGCAAAAGGAGGAAAAGGGCGCCGCTGACAAGGGGCAGACGAAGCCCAAGGCGGAGCCCAAGCCGAAGGCAGATGCCAAGGGCAAGCCGCCGGCCGGCAAGGGCGCGACAGCTGCTGCGGCGGCGGCGACGTCGGCAGCTGGCAGGAAGCGCAAGGCAGCGGAGGAGGACGCGCCGGCGCCGAGCAAGGCGGCTAAGAGCGAGCCGTCCGGGGCGGCGGGCGGCAGCCAGACGACGGGCGCGACGGCGGCGACGGGGACGGCGGCGGGCGGCAAGGTCAAGCGGGAGAAGAAGGATTTTGAGATGCCGGGGCAGACGCGCGAGACGCCGCTCGAGGTGGGGCGTGGCGGCGCGGGTGGCGGCGGAGGCTGAGCCTCTCGAGGCCGGGCGGCGCGGGCCGAACGGGCGCAGGGAGGGTACACAATGGGTCGTGGCAGGTGTGTCCCATGCGCGGTGGTGGGTTTTGTGGCATAGATTCGTCGGCCAGCCGGTCATCTTGACGGTCAGCTCGTCCCCTGGCCGTCTGCCGGGGCGTTGAGCGCGCAGCTTGGGGCCGCTGTGCTGACGGGTTTCGCCGCTCGTGCGCGCCCCCGCTGCAGACCGACGGCGCCCGCAAGTTTTACACGTCTCTCCTGGAGCAAAACCCCAAGAGCGAGATGGCGCGGAAGTGGTGCTGCATGGTGCGCATGCGCGCTGGGGGTGGGGGGGATACACTCCCTTGCTGGACCCCCGAGCAGCGCTGTCGGCGCACAGGCGGCCGCCGCCTGCCAGTCGCGCGCCTCGCAACGCCGAGCGCGGGACCTTTCAGGGCGGCACGTGCCGGGCGCAGTCTCCAACTCCAATGGCGCCAGGGGCGCCATGGCACTGCCTTATTGTGTCGAATCCCCCATGACGACATTTCATGCACCATCGAATTCTTAACCCCTTTGCCTCGCCGCAGCACGGGCTCCTGACCCTGGAGGAAGCTGAGGATTGGATGCGGACATACCGACCATCAGCGGCGCCGCGCGGCACGCCGCAGAAGGGCGGCGGCGGCGGCCGGGGTGGCAGCGGCGGCGGCGGCAAGGGCGCGGCGCCGGCGAAGCGGGCGTCAGGTGGGGCGAGCGTGTGTTTCTGGTGCTTGACGGGGTAGCTCTGGGGGTTCCTTTTCGCAGGGGAAGTCTGGGGATCAAAGAAGGTTGTGCGTTGGCACAGGCGAGGTGTGCGAGGCGGCAGCTGGCCGGAAGTTTCCAGGACCGCAGTGCGACGCCGCCTCGTGCAAGGATGTCCGTTGCGTAGCTTTGCAGGGCTGGGGCGTGCCAGCAAGTCACCCGAATGCCCGCAAGTGCCCCCAAGGTCTTTACCGTAGCAATTCCAAGGTCCTTTCCTCCCGCCACCCGGCTGCATTTTGCAGGCGGCGGCGCTAAGAAGCCCGCGCCGAAGCCGCGCGCCGCGCCGGGCAAGAGGAAGAGGGCCGGCGAGGAGGACGATGAGGACGATGCACTTTCCTCGGAGCCTGAGTCAGCGGACTCGGAAGACGAGCGGCCAATTGCAGCGCGCAAGGGCGGGGCCAAGAAGGCGACGCCGCGGGCCAAGCCGGGCCCCAAGCAGAAGCCGGGCCCCAAGGCCAAAGCGGCGGCGGGCGGGAAGCCGAGGGCGGTCGCCGCGAAGGAGCAGCTGTTTGCAGCCGGCGGCGACAGCAGCGACGACGACGTGCCGCTCGCGGCTCGGTTGAAGTGAGGGGCGGCTCCGGCCGGCGGCGGCACCGCGGCGGGCGGGCGCTGCACGGCGCCCGCGCAGCGGTGCGAGCTGCTACGGGGTGGTGTCCCGCAGGGCTTGCGCGGCGACGCATGCACGCGGAGAGGGTGCAGAGGTAGAGGGGTGCTGCGGCCATCGCCGCATGTGCCTGTGGGCCGGTCTGGAGTCCCATAGCCCTGACTGGACTGTGCGATGCACAATTAACATCAATTACTCAACAGCACTTGGGGTTCCATTTTTGAGGGGTGGCTCTGGCCCCACAAGCTGGCGCCCTGCGCGGCGGCCTTGGCACGCGCGGCACGCTTGCCCTTCGCGCCGCGCTGGCGCCTCGGCGCAGGTTGCAACACAGGGCCGGGCGGGTAGGCAGGCAGCTTCCGGCATTGGTGCACCGGCATTGAATCCTTTATGCAACGACACGAGCTGCAGGCGTTGTGGCTTTGGCGGGGCCGCTGGCGGGTGCTCGGCGCCGGTCCGCTCTCGGGCGTGCTGGCTGGCGCGCGGCCCGTGCTGCATTCCGGCCCGCCCGCGCCCGGCTGGGGAGTGGGGGCCGCATTCTGCGCCGGCATGCATGCCGCCGGACGCGGCGGGCTTCTACGGCGGAGGTCAACCAACAGCACGCCTGGCAGACAGCCCGCACGCTGCAACTCGAACCACTCACACCGCTCCTGGTGTAATTACTGTCCTTGTGGTGACTGCATGGCTGTGCCCTTGGTGCAGCATCGCATGAGTGCAGCCTCATATCAGCAAGGAACATGCGACCGCAAGGCGCTCGGTCGAGTGACGCCGCTGCTCACCCTCGGGCGCTAGGCTGTGCACACCTCCGCGAGTCCGAGTATCTTGAAGGGGCAGCCATTCGCGTTATTCGACGCGCTTATCGAGCTGTTTCTGTGCCAGGATCTTGGTTTGGTCCGATTGAATGGCGTGATCCGCCTACCCTGCACAGTCCCCTTCGATTCACCGCGCCTATAATCTAAATCTTTAGTCGCTGCTCGACGCGCCATCAATGGCGCTTCGTGACGCAGCGGCAGCGGGCGCAAAGGCGGCGCTCGCCACTCCTGTCATTGCAACACTCGTCTGGCTCCTGGGTGAGCTCTTCACTATGGATCGCACGGCAGCACTCTTTGGCTCTATAGTCACATAGGGATGCAACCTGCCTTCAAGATTTGCTCGCACCCGGCGCCGTCGTGAGGGCATGGCCCTAGAAAGCACCCCGCCACGGTCGGCTCAGCCGGCCTAACCACACACGAGCGACCCCCGCGCCGCTTTGCCGCGCGTGCACCCTCAACCCCCCCCCCTCCCCCGACCCGC